CACAACTGCCCCATCACCAATGGGGAGTTGAGGGGTTGAGTGTTTGGTGCACAAAATACCCAGGCAGGTGCTCTTTGTAGCATGCTCCAGGTCTAGCGGCAGCGCCTCTAACTCCTCCTCTGAGTAACCAGCAATCACCAAATAATCAGCATACATAACATGGTTGACCAATAGGGAGCTATTCCTCGACCGAATCCGGGCATCGACCAGCCTCCCATTGTATCTGTACCAGATGGTAAAGCCATGGAAGGCTTCTCGAACTATATGGTCGAAAAAGATGTTAAATAATGGACATCCCTGTCGCACCCCAAAGTAAACAGGGAATAGCTCCGACTCCCGGCCACCTAGCTTTACCCGGACCTGCCCACCATCATGAATGCCCTTATTGATTGTGAGTAGAGAGTCAGGGACTCCGAAAGCACTAAAAACAACCCAGAACCCAGGCCTATTGATGGTATCATAGGCCTTGACTAGGTTAATAAAGCAGAGATGTAGGACCTGTTGGAATTCCCTCCACCTCTGTTGTAGCAAATGGACAGAAAATATGACTTTTGTGTAGGACCACCCTGGCCAGGAACCACATTGGGGCTCCACATGCCTCTCCTCAGCGTCCCTGGCAAGGTGATGTTGAACAATCCTTGCCAGGACCTTTCCCGGCACACTGAGGAGGGAGATGCCCCTGTAGTTGTTACAGTGTATGCGGTCTCCATTAAAGAGGGCGGCCACCAGGGCATCCTTCAAATCCTGCGGAACTCGTCCAGTGGTCCAGAGATTCATTATGATGTCATTTAGGGCAGTCTGCACACAAACGCCACCCTCCCTCGGCATTTCGCTTGGGAGATCATCTCTGCCTGGCGCTTTTCCTGCGGATCACCTTCCGTACTTCCTCAACAGATGGCACTTCAGCCAGTCACTCACAGGAGGTGACTACTTCTTCTAATATTTGACGCACGGAAACACTTTGCCCCATGATGTTTTTTTTTCAGTATGAGGGATTTCCCCTCCCCCAAGACCTCACAGAATTGCTCAGCAAATCTGCGAACCTGTTTTTGGGTGTCGGAGATTGGATCACGGTTTCTTAACCCTAAGGATGGTGATACATGTGACACTGCAAGTTACTTTTTTGATAGAGTTAAAGGATGATTTGTGATTGCAAGCTACTGAAGCAGATTCCATCTCCTCAGCAACCCGCGACCACCACTCATCCTTGCAGTGCCGCACGGCTCTCCAAACCTCCAAGCGAAGGCTGCGGTAAACCTCATCATTCTCCAACGTGGCATACCGAGACGGTGGGAGTGGGCTTGTCGCTTTTTCTCAACTAACCTGAACACCTCCTCTGTCAGCCAGGGTTTCTGGGAGGTCTGGACCGCGTACCCAAAGCAGCCATTGCAGCTGCATGCGTCACAGTCCTAAACCTCGCCCATTTACCAGAGGTGGGACAAAGTCATTGTTATGCAAGTCCAAGTCGAGTCTGAAGTCATCAAATTCATGACTCGAGTCTGACTCGAGTGCAAGTCACATGACTCGAGTCCACACCTCAGAGGTGGGACAAAGTCATTGTTATGCAAGTCCAAATCGAGTCTGAAGTCATCAAATTCATGACTCGAGTCTGACTCGAGTCCAAGTCACATGACTCGAGTCCACACCTCAGAGGTGGGACAAAGTCATTGTTATGCAAGTCCAAGTCGAGTCTGAAGTCATCAAATTCATGACTCGAGTCTGACTCGAGTCCAAGTCACATGACTCGAGTCCACACCTCTGCCATTTACCCTCGACATCAGGAGGAGTGGGGGACGATGCCAACCCCAGCTGCAAGAGGTAATGAAATTCTCCCTTGCAACTTTCATCAGCTAGCTGAGACCAGGCCATTGTGGGTTTGAATGGGGTCCTAGATGGACACCCACCACCAGTGTAAAAATGGCAGGCCCATCTTACAGATGACAAACCAATGGTCAGTGGGCAGATCAGCTTCACGGTAGGTCCTGGTATCAAGGACATGAGTCCGCTTCTGCTCTTCCGTCATTATATAGTCCAGCAGATGTTCTTGCTTGGACCCTACATCCATGATGTTGTGTGGAGGCGCCGATGATGAAACAGCGTGTTGATAATTACAAGCCCATGGGCTGCAAAAAAGTCTAGCAGCCTTCTACCGTTGTGATTGAGCTGATCTGGCCCGTGCCTTCCAATCACTCCAGCCCAGGTGCCGGCATCATAACCCATTTGGTCATAGAAGGCATATGACTCATTGGCCTTGCCTGCATCCTTCCACTGATGTTCATCTTCGGTGGGGACATAAGCAACCACCACCACCACTCCTCGCCTCTGGTTGATGGAGAGGCGAGCTTACATTAGTTTGGGGCTTACAGCTTCCCACACCTCACCGCCACGCTCCCACATCCCCTTCATTCTTTTGTTCAGAAGAGACACTCCCTGTTGTTTGGCAGTCTCCTGCCCCGAGTAAAGGACTGTTCACCCCTCATGGTGACTGGGGCCAGAGCCAGTCCACCGGACCTCCTGAATACCACAGAGATCCAGGCGGTACCAGTCCAACTCCCGACAGATGAGCACAGCAGCCTCTCCTCCGCAGTGAGCGTTCGAATATTCCATGTGGCCACTCGCAGTGGCTTCTTTCCATTTCTGTGTGTGCACACACATACACACACACGTATCACCTCCTGAGCACAACACCACGCGCGTGCTCTGTCTTCGCCACCGCGCTGGCAGACGCAAGACGCCGTCCCTGATAACCCGGCATCACGTAATGCTTTTGCGATCCCATTTCAGAGCTGTTTCAAAGGTCGGACAGCTAAGCGCGAGGTCTGATCAGAGGGCTAATGAACCCCCTGCTCTGAACCAGACGCGTCTTCGCGTCGCGCATAAATCCTCCTCCCATGCGCGTTCTCATTGATTCGGTGTCATATCGATTCTCTCGGCACAGCGCGGTTCTGTGCGCAGTGCGCGTTCCTTTGTCTGCCGGTCGCTGCGCACGGGGGTGGGAGGTGGGAGGTGGGGGCGCAGGGTTAATTGTAATCAAGCAACCATAGCGTCGTGATCTCCACAGGGGGAGGGGGGGGCTGTCAGAAATCTCAGCGTTTGCGCCCACACGCCCCCATCCACGCTTAACAATTGCTCACCCTTGCAAATGCAAATCAGCGATGCCCTCCTGCGCGCATTCATCAGTTGATTGGTGACCGCGGAGAGATGTGACGCGTGGAGAGACGCGAGAGCAGGCAGACACGACTGGGATTTGAGAAAAAAATTGCCATAAAAGCAGGATTTGGCCGGTTTCATTTCTCTGAAGATATATATATTCGGTGTTTAATTCCCAATTCGAGATGCATGTTTACAAGCGTGGAGTAATCCTCCCCGGCTCTTGTGACTTTATCAAAACACGTGCCCAAGCGCCGTTTATTCGTGATCTCTGCGTGCCAAACCAGGCCATGACCGATTAATCTCATTTCGGTTGGAACTCCAAGACGACAACATGGTCGTTGTGTCTTTTTTTCTGTTCCGAATGAGGTCACCCACAAAGGCGCAAGACTCACAAAGGCGCTCCGAAATGCCCGGCGTATTTTAAGGCTTTTGCAAAACCACTGAGCGAAACCATCACCGTCATCACTATCATCACCATCGTCCTATATTCTCATAAGGCACATGGCCCTGCAGGGGATCGCGAGCAAGAGAGACAGCAGATGAAAGCCGTTCTCAGCAAAGCGTAAACTTGCACTGCACAATGCCAAATTGACAAACCGTAATTACATGTCAACAGGCAGAGAGATGGAAACGAAATGAATGACATTGGGCTGCTGCTGTGAATGGACCAATTCTTGTTTGTACATAATTTGGGATTGCATAGCAGCGTTATGGGATGGAGCGGTGGTGCAGCGATTAGCGCAATGCATTATTAATCCGGTGACATGAGTTTGATTTCCACGGCTAATTTATCGGTGACGAATGATATCTGCACCAGTCCTGAGACCCCCCCTCCCTTCCCCTTCACAAACCCACACAAACCCACACAAACCCACACAAACCCACACAAACCCACACAAACCCACACAAACCCACACATTCACCAGCCAAGTGACTGACAAGGCGTGGGGAGGTCTTCATCAAGCAGTTGATTGACACAGAGCTTCCAAATAGCATTGCACGACTCATCTCTGCAGTCCTCGATTGTCATAGAACCTTAGTGGATATTTCACCGCAGTTTACTGGGGGGGGGGGGGGGGTAAAAAAAATGGACATGATTTTGTGACACGTTGAACACTTTTTTTTTATGACCGCAACCACTTTATCCAAGACACCATTCCACAATTACGGATAAAGCACAACCGAGGAGCTTCACGCTGCAACATAAACACACGACCCCGGGCGCAGAGTTTGTGTAACGCGCGCAACGCCCGGTTAATTAACGGCGCCAGGGGGGCCCCACAGATGTGGCGAGATTTCCCCGCAAGTAAAACCATCATCGATTCTCAGCTCAACAAAAGAGCACAGGCACGCAGGTCAATAACACAGTCTGTGTGTGTGTGTGTGTGTTTTATTAAGTTTTTGAATCGGTGCCTCTTGATGATCCACGGACAAACACTGAATTCCCCGTCTTCGTGCGGAGCTCGTGGTGTCACTTGTACCCCATAAATCATCTTCCGCACCGGTCGGCCGGTGCCAATTCAGTTGACGCCAGCATTTAGCGACAGGTCCTCGCAGGAACCCACCCAGCCAAGTTGCACGTGGGCCACGGGCGCAGGCCGCCAGGCTCGTCAAGCGTACGGCAGGTCAGACGCCGGGTCAAAGCAAACGGCAAGTCGTGGGTTATCGGAGAGAGAAGAATTTGCCTCCCATCGCTGTCTGGCTTGAACTTGGTGCAACGGGCTCACCGCCATCGTGGGGACGTGAGAGAGAAGGGGGCGGCGGTTTGAAGCGTGAACGGGAGCGATCCTGGGAGCGCTTCCACCTTGAAGGACAAATTATAAATTAGACTGCACATGTGCCACGGGTGAGTTCTTTATATTTTATTCAAGTACAAAAATAAAGTCTTTGGAGTAACAAATATATACACCGGCTCTTCCTCCACGGACACTCTGTACAGCTGCCTCGAGTTTACAAGATAAATAAAAAGTCCTGCGAACAGCGTAAATACTGATTGCCTAACCATGCGGGTCGGCGCTATTCCCCCGAAACGACTTTAAAAAATTGCAAATGATAGGAGTGCAAACACGGAAAATATGCAAATGAGGTAATCCCCTTTCAATCGAACTTAAAAAACAAAAACAGAATATTGCACTTAAAATCAAACACGAACTAACCTATCGGCTGACTGCCATGGAAATGACGTTTGCACGACCGAACCATAAATAATGTGCAATGCGACGTGACGCGCTGTATAAATTAGGTGAATCAAATTTAACGAAAAACTTTCCTCGCTGCGTCGCTCACTCCGCCGAGCGGACGGCCACGCGAAGCCACCCCCCCACTGCCCCCCGCGCGGAACGCTCCGAGCTCGGCGGGACGCGCCGAGAGACGCACCGCGGGCCAAGGTTCCGCACGCGCGGCTCAACGCGCGCACGCAGGCAGGCCACGAGCACGGCACAGCGGGGACCGGGCACACGGCGCGGTTCGCGTGCCGCCACGGTCAAGCGTGGCGCGTGTGTTGGCCGTTGAGGAATACCCCTCGCACGGGAAGGGCCCCACCACCGCCACGCCATCTGGGTGCCACCACCAGCAGCAGCAGCAACGGCGACGACAGCAACAGCAGCTTGACGGCGCACGCTACCCTGGGCTACACTGCCTGCTTCTGCTGCTGCTTTCTCTCCCACCATTTACCATCACCGTCACTCCCACCACCATCACCACCACCATCACCATCATCACCATGCGGGAGGAGATGCCTGACCAAGGGAGGGAGGGGCGGGCACCTCATGGATGGAGAGGTTGTGCAGGAACCATGTTGCGTTAGTATAAAAAGGGGGATGCAGGGGTGCAAAAAGGTGAGGGGGTGGGGGGTCGCGGAGTGTGAAGGTTGGAGGAGTGGGGGGAGGGGGGGGGTCCCCGCGGTGCGGTGGAGGACACCCCACGCAGCCCTCAAAAAACGACGCATGCTGATGGTCACCCAGCTGGACCGGTCAAAAAAGCACAGCATGGAAGGGCACAACCCTGAGAATGAGGTTACACCTTGACGATGGTGGTGGGAACAAGGTCACCGTGACACGCGGGGGGGGGGGGGTAGTTGGGGGGGCGGAGTGGGGGAGGGGGGAGGAGGCACTTGGCTGCCTGCTCCAAGTCAGTGGTAACCCAAAACAAAAATATATGTGTGGAATCAACTACCATGCGTGTTTTTATTTACATGTTATTTTATTTCTCTCATGGAATCAAAGTTGCCCCATCTGTGTCGAATTACCGCCTCGCCGCTGCTGTGGCCACCGGCCGTCATCGGCGACCCGAAGTCTCGGTCGGCGATGGGTTTGTAAAAGTTTTTTATTTCGCCGTTCCCTCTTCGTGTTTTAGTTTTTTTGTTTTTGTGTACCGCTCGTTTTTCGTCCAAAAAAAAAAACTCGCGCAAATCGAGCCTTGGGTGAAAGGGGGTGAGCAATTTGCGGTCGAGCGGCGGGGGGGGGGGGGGGGGAGGAGTTGGGGGGGAGGGGGGTGGTGGCGCGGCAGGCGGCGCGAGACGATGGACTGACGGAGCAACTGTTTCGCTGTGGGATGTTGAAGGTGCTCAGTTAGAACCCGAGTGGATGGACCGTGAGGCTTGCGACAGGCAGAGATAAAAATGAGACAGGAGACACAGAGTGATGCGATGGACAAAAGCACATATTTATAAATGATAATGAGTATAATAGAAATATCCTCTACAGCATTCAACTCCAACAGTTTCACACACACAAAAAAACACTAGCATGGTACAAACCCCTCAATCACTGTCCGGACTTGATTAAGAGTGGTTAAATAATTTAAAGGCTAAATGAGAAACGTCGCCTCACAGATGTCAGGAGTTACATGAAAAATGGTATCAACAAATCGTTCGCCACAATTTGTTTCAAAGAAATGGAGACTAGGACAACCTGGCCACGTGGGAGCTTCATTTGTTTCTAACTATGAAGAATGTAAACTCATCTTCCTGTTTTGAAGGAGGGAGGGGGGGGGGGGCAGGGAGGGGTGGGGGCACGGAAAGGTAAAGGACAAGGGGCAATGACAGGGTGGCGAGGAGGAGGGGGGGGGGGGTCATTTCAGCTGTGGAATGAGAAATTCAAGTAAAGTTATTTTTTAGTTTTATACAACTCTGCATTTCAGTAACGTTGCTTTGTAAGTAGTACAATGATGAGCAAAACATTGAAAAGCAATAGAACATGGAGAGAAAGTGCACGTCGTACAGACCCAGTTAAATATTATTTCACATACTCCACTTAAAAGTTACAAACAATACTTTTTTTCTCTCAGAAATACTTCTAAGCAGGCGAACATGCACACACCGCCGATGGTAAATTCCGCACGTTAAATGCGTTTGGCAAAGCTGCGTCGAGCGCCGCTGGCTAACGGCACTCTCTGCAAACGAGCTCGGTTAAGCGTGGTCTGGGAAAATGTCACGGCAGATAAATTGTATTTTTTTTTAAAGATTAATACGATAACTACGGAGATGTTGGGCTTAACGGGAACACAGAGCTTAAGCCGACGACACAACAAGATCCTGGAAAAAGTCACAGCGTTAAGACAAATCGTGAGAGCAATTAAAAGCGGGCCCGCTGAGCGATTGACTGCACGCCGCGGCCCATGAGTGAATATGCAACTGTGGGTCGCCTCAGAGCGTTTTTCTTGCCCCACGTTTCACGCTCGCCGCTATCCCTTTCGGCAGACCGCTTATGCTACGACGTGGGAAACTATACAACGCTGCGCACGTTACGTAATGAGACGAACGGGCGATGGAGCCCTGGGCGAGGAGGCTGCGCTGTTCCTGCCACACCACCCCCCGCAGAGTGAAGTGGAACGACACGCAAAGCAGGGCAAGCCGACGCGCGGCTTCACAGGTGCCGGGAGAACGCTCGCTCGGAACGTTGCAACCTCGGCAGCACGCGAGCCGAGGCCAGCCCCCTGCGGGATCCGGCGCTCAGGCGGGATGTGAGAAACGATTAATTAAACGACGGCGCTAATGAAAACGGCGTGAACATTTCCGAGTGACCCATAGTTGCATATTAACACTGGGGGGGGGGCGGAGGGAGGGGGGAGGGGGAGGCGGGGGGCGCACTTAAGCGAGGGGACCTTCGGATCGTCGCGGCGACCGGAGCGATTGGGTGGGGGGCGTCGTTCGCATGGCACGCGGCACGCGGCACGCGGCACGCGGCACGCGGCACGCGTCCCTTGCTGCGGGTACGGGGCACGGGCATTTTGCTCGAGAGCGCGGCTCGGAGCGACTGGCCCGCGCTCTGCGAGTGAGAGTATTTCTCCACGTTTAAAAGCAGTTTGGCAACTCACATATGCTCGCTGTATGTCACATATAGTGCACCTATGGCGTACATTAAAAACCCCTCACATTTGCATTCCATGTCCATGCAATTACACAAATTCCACTTTTTTTTTGTTTAAACACCAATCGCACATATTAGCATAATACGTATTCCGCATACCAAAAATCTATCCTACAATTCAAACGGGTTGTTGTTGAACAGCTATGAAAACTAGTTTACTGTACATCAAAATACTGTCTCTAGATATATTTTCAGTACAGTTGGCACTTGCACACGTTTTAAACACGGCTACGGGGTCAAATGTGATGGGGGGGGGGGGGCGGGGAAACCGGCGGGACTCCACAGCGCAAAAGGAATCGACGTGACGTTGAAACCTGGCCACAACAACAACAACAAAATACCCAGCACAAATCCAAATAAACATTTGTTTTCTTTTAAAACCACGTACATTCAAAACAAAGACGAACGGCAAAAAAACGAACATCCGAGTGAAAACAAAACGACATCATCTATCTACAACGCATTTGGTCATTCTAAAAATATGCCTAAAACGTTTGTAAATTGTAATCGTTATTACTATACATATATATTTTGTTTTCTGTAATTACTATGTAAGTCGCATGCATACGTTGTCCAATGCAGCTGCACTTGAAACCGACATGGAGTAAACAGCCATAGTCTTGGCAAACCGCTGAGTAATTATTGCCACCCTCCTCTTGCTGTATTCTCGCTGTTTAATCGGCCGCCGATGATCGGGAAACGGAAAGTTGCCGCGTGGAGTTTTTTTTTCTTTCTTTCTTTCCAGCAGCATTAACACCTGGGCCCCACGCTCGCCCTCCCTCGCACGCCTCACTTAAAGCTGATAAGACTTGTCAAGAGCGCTTGTAGCCACTTAAAACTGTATACGCACACACACACATAAGTATATAAACAATAACATCGAGCTAAACAAAAACCGCACACACAAAGGTCATATATTAAAAGACGCAGCTTATTAATAAGGGTGCCTTCATTTTTCTACATACAATAGTCAGTGACGAAAATTAAATTAGTTGTCGGTGTGGCACGTTCAAGAGAGGAGGAAGAGGAGGCTTCTGCCTTCCTGCGGTGGCCCACTGGCCTCGCCCCTGACGGCGCTTCCTAAAAGACTTCAAAACTGGGTTCGAGTCGCGCGCCTGGGGTGACGTATCCCGCTACGCTAGGCGCTTGAGCATAAAATTGCACTTAGCGATCTGTGCTCAAGTGGCCGACTCCTGGACATCAGGTTCCAAACGTTATTTTTTTTTTTTGAACAGGAACAGGTCGAGCTGTTCAATGTGCCACCGAGGAATCCAATTCGTCGTGTGCTTTGCCCTCCGTTCTCCTCACGAGAAGCGTCTACGCGCAACGTACGATTGCGCATCCGCCGTTGTTGTTGTGTGCGACGGACGGGAACGCCGCCTCGGCCATTGCCCTGCATCGAACTGCATTGTGCTAAACGTTTTTTTTGTTCAGAATAGGTTGCAGCGCACACCAGGGACCAGTTAGGAACCATTTTAGAAAAGAAACGTGTGACATCTTGAGTTTGGCAGGCAGGAGGGGATAACAGGGGGGGATGCACGGGGGGGGAAGAGGGGGACCTGGTGGGTGTTGTTTGAGAAATGGGGGTTGGATGCGTGGGGGGGGTGTGGGAGAAAGATGGGACGGCCAAAGCCGGAGCGCGACGCTACCCGACCTTCTGCGGGTTGGTGGCGCGCAGGCCCTGCTCGTAGACGATGCGCTGCGTGATGAGGTACTGTGCGGCCTGCGTCGAGGCCGGGGGCCCCGTTATCGTCACCTTGCGGTTGCGCGTCCCCGGCACGAACTCGCCCTTCTTGGAGATCTGGATGCGGGCGCCCGTCATCTCCTGGTACTCCACCAGCGTCTTTCCCCCCTTGCCGAGGATGGCGCCCACCAGGTTCTCGGGCACCGCGATCTCCAGCGCGTCCTTGCCGCCGTCGTGCTTTTCTCCACCGAGCAGAGCGCCGGCCATGAGCGGCGTGGCCGCCGAGCCCATGTACCCGCCGTTGGCGGCGATGCCCGCCGCTCCCAGGCCGCCCAGCGAGAACGCGCCGGGGGCCCCGCCGGCCGCGGCCGCCGCGGCGCACGCGGCCGCGGCGGCGGCGGCGCCCCCCGAGCTGGGCATGCCGCCCGCCTCGTTGGCGTAGCTCGCGAGGATGTTCGCCGCCGCCATCGCCGACGGGCTGGAGCCGAACATGGGCGTCGGCGCGGCCGGCGCCAGGCCCAGTGCCAGCCCGGGCCCCGGCAGGCTGTAGCCGTAGCCCGCCAGGGTGCTGAGCGCCGACGAGATGGCCACCAGGTCGGTTCCGCCGAAGCCCGACAGCACGGTCGGGAAGGCGGCCACGTTGGCAAGGCCGGCGTGGCCCAGTAGTCCCGCGGTGGGCATCACGTCCCCTGGGGAGATGCCTGGCGCGGGGCTGGCGTACGGGGAGCCGGTGGGGTTGGCGTTGGCCACGGGCCCCGTGATGCCGGCATAGCTGATGTTGAGGCAGCTGCCGCTCTGCGGGTCCTCCTGGATCTTCTGGACGATGAGCTGCACGGCGTGGCGTGACTGCTCGGGCTCGCCGCTCACCGTCACCACGCGCTCCTGCAGGCTGCCGCCCTCCGGCTTCTGCGAGAGCTGCACCCAGGCGCCCGACTGCTCCATCATGGACTTGACGGTAGCGCCACCCTTGCCGATGATCAGCCCGGCAGTGGTGTTCGGCACGATGATTTTCGCCTGAAAAACAATTGCGCACAAATGCAAAGGCCGATGAGAGAAGGGTTACCGTCGCCCACAGCGATCAAATCTCCTCCGAACAATTTTTTTTGCCAGAGTGGAATTATCCTGTGACAGGTGTCATCATAAAAGGCATTGTGCCAGCTCACAATTCATCTGCGACTCCACCGTCTTTAAATCTGCCGCATAACAAACAAGAGGCTCTGACCGCCCACTCTTACCCATTCCGCTCAAATCCTCACCCCCCACCACTGCCTCACCCCCCCCCCCCCCAGTTCACTCAAAACAAAGGCATTCCATCTCTCAATGGGTGTTGGGGCTGCTTTGTCTGCTGTTCCCTCAGCGGGCTCAGTTCATCCAAAAGAAATCAGCATCGAGTTACGGCGGCGACATTATAATCTTCTCGCACGCATAAAAAAAAAGTACAAGACCATACGGAGCCTCGTGAACGCCTTCGGGCCGACGCGCCGGATTGCGTCAGAAGTCTCCGGCAGCCGTGACCATCCCGCTGACACCTCTGACCCCTTGTGCCGGTCTTTCGCGAGGGGGGTGGGGGGTGGTCGGCAGTTCGCGCGCTGCAGCTCGTCAAAAAAAATCCCGCGCGGCCCTTCGCCAACAACGTGGGGGCAGCACCGACCGTCGGCATTAGCAGCGGCGTTGGAGTCTCCAACAGAGGCTTTTAGAAACAGGATGCACGGCGCATTGTGCCGCACTTCAATCAACGGTCGAGCGTTTGTGGCCGGCACCGGCGAGAACAGCTGCATAAAATGGGTCCTCTCGAAGCTTCCTTAGGAGAACACAAGCAATTTCACTTTCTGCATTACTTTAAACTTAAGAAGCCAGGACAGTCTTGTTGTAAACATTGTAGAAGGTAAAGGGTAAAGATGTCAACGATGCCAAGGGGTAAGGTAAAGGGTAGGGTAAAGTTATCGCGAAGTATTACCTGGTAAATACCCAGTTTACCGCTCGCTAATAGCTCTGTGGCGCAGTCCGTAGCCTCCATTTGAAATTGGAATCATTGATGTCGGACCAGATGGAGACGGACCAGATTCTTGAGGTAGAGGATGAGGTCGAGGATGCCAGCAACGGCATTTCGGGGGTCGCTGCGAACAGCAATCATAAGAGGCAGCTGCATGCATTCCCGTGGGAGCACACGCACGATTGGATGGAGGGTGATCCCCGTGTGCAGCAAGGAAAGTGGTTTTCCTCCCACATGAACGTGTCGGGGTGGAAAGCCCACCTCAAGAAGCACAACGTGCTCACCCCAGACAGCGAGGTCGGGACGTCGGCGTCGGCGAGCCACCTAATGCGGCAAATGCTGAGCCGGCCAGCAATCCTGAATCACCTCCTGGTAAAGTTTGAGAATGCGGTGGTTGATTTTGTTGTCCAAGGTGCAATCTTTTTGCGAGCCGCCAGCAGCGACAAGTTTAAGACCTTGGTCCATACATTGATGCAGGGATATAAGGGTGTATCGACCTGCACCATCATTGGCAGGATTGTTGAGTTTCACGCCATCATGCTGCCCATCATTGGGGCGTTCTTCTCCAACCTGGACATCACCATCTCGCTCACAATCGACGGGTGGTCATGGTGCACTGGATCGACACCAAATCTGATGCGTCGAAATCCTATGCTGCTGACGATACTCGATGTGCAGTCTGGAAGGGGTGTCGGCAAGCGCATTGGCACCGCTCTCTTTGAGCACCTCCAAAGCCTCAGGCGCAATGTCTCAACCAAGCTGCTCTCTGTCACCAGCGACAATGGCTCCGATGCGATCAGTGCTGTCAAGACGTTGTTCGCCTTGGTCAACGCAGACATCAGATATGAGCAGTTGCGGGCTTGCCACCATATTCGCTGCACGGATCATTCGGTCCAGATCGGCATCGTCTAAATTCTCAAAGGCGCTCATCAATATCAGGAGCAGCAAGGTCGTCCGGCAGTCATACCGCCGCGAGGCCGAGAACGTCAAGCTCGCCAGCAAGGAGCCGACGCACCAGGACTTGCCGACCAGGTGGAATGCGACGTTTGACGTGGGCGACGACGCCATCAAAAAGCGTGTCCCATTGGACATTATCATGGCGCTCCCAGGATGTGATCGGTGTCAGTGCTTTCTCTGAAATGCAGTGGGCAATCATCGTGACAGCATTCCTGTGAATGCCGCGCCAGGTCATGCCGGTGACAATGGAGCACCTGATCTGTCATTGCGATCAAGGTGAAGCCACTCTTAGAGTGATCGATGAGTCCTTGACTGTGACGGAGATGAAGGCCGAGCTGGTGCGGCACCGCGACTTCCTGGTTCAGGAATCCGCCATTGTGGCATCCTACTTGAATCCACAGCTGCGGAAAACGACAGACCAAGACGAGCTGGCTACACTGAAGGCCACAATCTGCTGTCCTGCAGCATCGCTACTCGGACATGCTCGCGATCCCGCCGACGGCAGTCGCTGTCCATATGGAGGAGGGGTCGCTGTTCAGCACCCTGTTCAGCAACGTCGGCAGCTCCATCGATGACGGCAATGAAGTTGATAGTTTTCTGAGCATGGGCATCATGACCGCCAGCGCCTTCATTAGCGTAATGCAGTAAAAGGTCTCCCCGCAAATATCTGCTCCTCGCCAACTACAAGATGGCCTGCGACTACTTGGGGGCGCCGGTGACGTCAAATCTCTGCGAACGCGCGAATAGCGGAGCCGGGCGGGAGTTCACATGCATTTGCCAGTCGCTGTAGTCGACGCTCTTCATCCAGTCCATGTGCTTGCGCTCGTGGATCGTGGCCGGCTGCCTGAAGGTCCCGTCTAACCGGGCCGGAGTGGCGCAGGATCTTATTGCCTGTCGTTTGTCCGATGACAACGGCAATGACGAACTCGATCAGGTTGTTGATGAGATCGTCATCGACCAAGACGACTGGGACGAGGAGGTTTTGGAGGATGGTGTCGTCGACAGCCTCAACGCCCAATTCGAGAGTATTCTATACGACTAAACCACTCTACCTAGCATGTTCCTGTTATAAACCTTTTTAATGTGTAGTAGTACCCCAGTAATTACCCTGTAATCGGGTAATTTGTATGGGATAAGAGTAGAAGGTAGGGTAAAGGTAGGCTCGTTGCTTTTAAACTTTTACCTGTTACCTTACCTTGCTAAAGGGTAAAAGGTAAGGGTAGAGTGATTGTATTGGGGTAAGGTAAAAGGTATGGTAAAGTTAGGCTCGTTGTTTTAACCTTTTACCTTACCTTGCCACGGACTACTCATCCGGCCTACAGACTGAACGCCGTGCGTTCGTCTACCGTCATGCATCACACTTCCCAAAACGCAATAAGCCCAGACTATTTGCAATAAACACGTAACAGTGCTTTGTTTTGGCGTTGACGTGATTGGAAGTGCTGTGTCTGCGCCGCAGACCATTACGGAGCCGCTAGCAAAAACACTGCCCACACAAGGCACTTAACGCTGCCCTTCCCTGGGCAGTGGGACACGTCCCACCCACACGCCCACACGCTCGCACTGAGCGCAGACGCTTCAGGTAGCTATACGAGCCACTTGGGCTTGAGCAGCTGCGAGTGTGTGCGTGGATTGTGACCGTGGATTGTGACCGTGTGAGAGCAGCAAGCCGCCCGAGCACGGCACGGATACACATTTACAAAACGTCCACGGCTGTTAACTATCTTCGCAGTAATGGCCTTGACCATCTCTCTCCTGTGGTCACCGGCAACAAACATCAAATATATAGACAGAAATATTTAGAGATGTATTCAGAAGAGCAATACAGGAGAGGTATGAGTCGGGGCATATACAGAGCATTAATGAAAGATTGGTATGAGATGTAATGGATAGTGATTTTTAACAGATATGATGCGTCTCATGACGCTGGAGTGACCTCCCTTGGGATGCTTGGACAATTCTCTCAATGAGTTGTTTGGCTAATGGGAGGAAATTGGAGAACTTGGTGGAAACCCACGCGTGCAATGGTGCAATACTCAAATATCTACACAGATGGAGTTAAGAATCCATTCTTGTACTGCCATCTCTCTCATCCTCGTGTCTACAACGCCTGGCAAAGCCCTGGTGGTGACCCATATAAGCACGAGCCAGGCTCAAAATACTACTTAACTTGGCTTTTTTGGGCGATTCGGTCACAGGGATTAATTATCAACTCGGGAAGTACCCACACGCATTCCTGCCGGAACCACATGAGCCTGCTCGTGAAACTCTACGCGACCACGCAACGACCTACGACACGGGAACATTTTGGGTTCCACTTCATTTATTGGCAGCGCCGACGTTGAAGTCGTACGGCGATGACATTTGTTCATTTATCGAGTCAAGTGCAGCCGCTCGTAATCACGGCGCTTATGCCGATGACGCAACTTAATAAACCCGGGAAGAAGAAGCCTCGGCCCGCAAATGAAAGAACGCGCTGCCCTGTCGACGCCGTCGTCCGTTCTCCAAATTCCTATGTCCTCCGCCTCTTCTCTCATCCTCTGTGTATCTCGCTCCACCACAACCTCCAATCTTGCCCTCAATCTCCCTTGACTCCTGCTGCTCTGCGCCGGTGGCATCTCCATAGCCCTTCTCGTCCAGAGGCCTCCATGCGATTCCGTGGAACTCTATGTGAGTGGATCGGTCTCTGTGTGACTCGATGAGTCACTATGTGAGTTATCGGTGTCTGTACGAGTCTACAGTTCGCTGTGTGAGTCTGGATCTCTGTATGAGTCTATAGTTCTTTTTGGCAATATGTGGGTCTCTATGCGAGCCTATCGGTCTCTGTGCGCGTCTATGAGTATCTGCGCAAGTTGATGGGTCTCTAATCTCCATAGCCCGTCTAATTACATCTTCTTTGCCTCTTCTCAACACATGCCCAAACCATCAAAGCCTCGCCTCCATTACCACACTGAGAAGATCTGTAATGCCCGTTTATGCTCTAACTTCTTCACGCCTCTGTGACCCTATAAACCACACACACTAAGTTTCCAAATTAAGCGAATTACACCGTGGGGAAATGATG